TCAAATAGCATGTATTTTTTTTGTTGCAAGCTTTATTGATTTTACTGAACTGCTCACTGCTCTTTCTCTCTAAAATAAACTTCTCTCGCCCCTTTTATATCCTAGCCCAACTGGAGTCTTGCGCTCTGTGTACTTTTTAACGAGAAAATTTTTAAATGTGATTTCAAGTAGAACCATAGAAAAGATGAATTTCTTAACTGTTATGTTTGAGTTTAAATTATAAGTGCATATGCCTGCATCTTTCATGCAGGCCTCTGTGTTAGATCTGAATGACTAGGTCACTGTCCTCCATGGAGAAACTTAACCTAACATGCCTCCTATTTCATTTCCTGTTTCAGTTTGTTTATAATGGAACAAGAACTTAAACGTCCGCATAGGGGCAGGACTAGAGGCAAAGCAAGCTGAATTTGCTGCTTGTGTCACTGACAACCCATTCTGAACTGTGAGTTAAGTCCTGGCCATTCCACTTCTGATCCAGCCTCCTGCTAGAATACCTAGGAGAGCAGTGGAAGATGGCCCACGTGTTTGAGCCCCTGCCTCGATGGGGTTCCAGGCTCTTGGCTTCATCCTGACTGAGCCCTGGCATTTGTGGGCATTTAGATCCAACCAAGAGATGGAAGATACCTCTCTTACTCTCTCTCCCCCACTCTTCCTCTCTTTACTTTTTCTTTTTTTAATATGTATTTTTTTTTATTATTATTGCAAAGCCTGATTTACAGAAAGAAAGAGAGACAAAAAGATCTTCCATCCATTGGTTCACTCCCCAAGTGGCCGGAGCTGAGCTGATCTGAAGCCAGGAGCCAGGAGCTTCTTCCTGGTCTCCCACGCGGGTGAAGGGTCCCAAGGCTTTGGGCCGTCCTTGACTGCTTTCCCGGGTCACAAGCAGGGAGCTGGAAGTGGAGCAGCTGGTGCATGAAAGGCAAGGACTTCAGCCACTAGACTACCGTACCGGGCCCCTTTCTCCTTTTTTCCTTCCCTCTCTCCTCCTCTTCCTTCTCCCTTTCGAATAAAAAAGTTATTAAATAAATAAAGCTGCATGTAAATAATCTGTATTCAGAAACCTTTTGAATCATAATGAGTCTTTCTCAAGCTTTTAAAATTTTAGTGACTCAGTTTAAAGTGTTTGGATCAGAGCTGGCACCATGGCATAGTAGACTGAGTTTCTACCTATGGTATTGGGCTACAGGCTCAAGTCCCGGCTACTCCACTTCATCGAGCTCTCTGCTTATAGCCTGGGAAAACAGCAAAGGATGGCTTTAATCCTTGAGCCCTTCAACCCCATGGGAGACCTGAAAGAGGCTCCTGGCTCCTGGCTTCAGATCAGCTCAGCTCTGGCCATAGCAGTCATCTGGGGAGTGAACTAGCAGATAAAAATTCTTTTTCTGTCCCACCTTCTTTTATAACTCGATAACTTCTCTCTATAAAAATAAAATCTTTGGGCCCGGTGCAGTGGCACAAGTGGTTAAAGTCCTCACCTTGCACGCCCAGGATCCCATATGGGCGCCGGTTCTAATCCCGGCAGCCCCGCTTCCCTTCCAGCTCCCTGCCTGTGGCCCGGGAAAGCAGTTGAGGACAGCCCAAAGCTTTGGGACCCTGCACCCGCGTGGGAGACCCAGAAGAGGTTCCTGGCTTCGGATTGGCATAGCATGGGCCGTTGCACTCACTTGGGGAGTGAATCATCTGACGGAAGATCTTCCTCTCTGTCTCTCCTCTCTGCATATCCGCCTTTCCAATTAAAACATAATAAAAATAAATCTTTAAAAAATAAAATAAAATCTTTATAAAGTTACTATAACTTTAAAAAAGTATTTGTGAGATAGTTTTACCTATCTCACAAGCACCTGATGTCTCATTTTGCTTATATTGAATTAGCTAAGTTTTTAAATCACAATAAAATAAATACAGCAGTAGTACCCAATAGTACGGCTTTGGAACAAAGGCCATAGCCCTCGAATAGTGCATCACTCAAAGGCAGATGAGAATATGTTATTAAGTTGGGCTGCCGGCCTTAAGTGTAAGCCAGCAGCCAGTTGTGTTTTGCGTAAAGAGAGGCATCCATGACTGTGTAAGGACAGTTGAGATGGCCGGTTTATAGGCCATTCCTAGCTGCCACCTATGTGTCTTCCCGGTACTCTGCCTCAGCTCTCCTTATTTTCCCGAATGATAGAAAACCACCTGGGGACCCTGTCCAGGTCTTCTACCTTCCTAGGCCTCAGACCTGGTGACCTGACTTAACCCGGCCACCACTGCGCTGGCTTTGCCCTTGCCCGAGGCAGCCGTCTGTCCATGTTGCTGGGTTCCAGACCTCCGTCTCCCCTGACAGCTCGCCAGGCTTGGTTCTCTCCCCTGCTGCTTTCCCAGGCCACAAGCAGGGAGCTGGACCAAAAATGGAGTAGGCAGGACTGGAACAGGCACAGGCCTGGAATTGCAGCACCACAGGTGGAGGCTTAGCATACTATGCCACAGCACTGGCTTCCCAGGTATAGTTGGTATTTAATGTTAGTGAATTCCACTTGCATGTGCATAGCTGCTTCAGACTTGGCGAGTCCAAACCTGAGTTTCTCTTTTTTTCCCCACGGACCCTCCTCTTTCTGTATTCTACAAGCAGCAGCACCATCCATCTGTGTGCAAGACGGAAACCTGGGCCTGATCCTTGATTCTCATCCTCCCCCGTGTGCATTCAGTACCACGCCAGATGGATTCTGCCTCCTGAATGTCTTTTTTTTTTTTTCTTTTTTCTTTTTCATTCTTGTTCATTTATTTGAAAGACAATGAGACAGAGCTCTCCAGGCTGTTGGTTCACTCCCCAGGCAGAGCTAGGCCAGGCCGAAGCCAAGAACCTGAAATTCTCCCCACGACTCACTCCCAGGAGAGATAGGGAAGCAATTACGAGAGCCACCATCTCTGGCTGTCTCCCCAAACGCGTATTAACAGGAAGCTGAAATGAGGACCAGACTTGGGATGCAAGGCACTTTGCCTGTAAGTCACCGCAGTCCTTCCTATTTCTTAATTTGACGTATTTTAATCATATGTCCCATTTACAGTAAGTATGTCCTTCTAGAATGATCTTTTCCAAATCTCTCAACCCCGGTAGATTTTGATTTCTCTGCAATACAACCATTTCTCACGCCATTAGAACTTGCAGTGGCTCTCCTGTGGTCTTGAGAATACAGTGCAGTGCTTCCTGACCGTCAGGGCTGTCCATCCGTTAGGCCCTCCATGTCTTTCCAGCCTCCTCGCGTTGCAGACTTCGGGTCTGGGATAACTCCCACACGTTGATGCTTGTTGCTGGGGTTGTTGACAGCCCCAGCCTGGGACAGCGGCAGCCTGGGTGCCCTCTGCTCTGGTCCCCCCGTCTGGGCACGCGCCTCAGGACAGCGTTCTTATCCTGTTATCCATTTGCCACACATGGGAGTGGACTTCAGAAAGTTCATGGAAAAATGGAGCTAAAAGATAGTTTATTTTGGCACAAAATGTTTTTGAAATGCCTGCAGTTTTTTTTTTTTTCATAATATATATTTTCATGAGCTTTTCGAAGACCCCTTATATATGTATTTCAGATTTTTTTTTTTTTAACACTTGGGTCAGCACTGTGTTTTAGCAAGTAAAGGTGCTGCCTGGCACTCTGGCATCCCATATGGGTGATAGTTCGAGCGTCAGCTGGTCCACTTCCAAAGCAGCTCCCTGCTAATACACATGGCCGAGTAGCAGAGAATGGCTCAGGACCCTGGACTCTACAGCCATGTGTGAGAGCCAGAGAAAGTTCCTGGCTCTTGACCTCAGCTTGGCCCCCCAGGCCCCCCGACCCCCGCTATTGCAGCCATTCCGGGAGTGAATCAGCCAGGGTAGAACACCTTTTCCTCTGTCTCTTTGCCTCTCTGTAACTCTGCTTTTCTCATAAAATCTTTTTTTCAAGAGTGTTTTTGGTACCGAAATAAACTGTGTTTTTTCAATTCCAATTTTTTCTGCAGACTTTTTTGGAGTATCTTGATATTCTCAGTCAGTTGGCTCTTCTGTCCTCAGGAGCCAACACAGGGGCTGCACACAGAACACACTGAAGTTTGTTGAGTGAATGACTTTAAACGCGTCCTTTTGCAGCTCTGAGCTCCAATTGCTTGATTGATTCAATGCGAATAACTCCTTGCCTGCTTCGTCATGTTCCTTGGGGCCTTGGAAGATAACTTAAACGAAGTGTAACGTAGTGATAAATTAAGAATGTGTCTTTTGGAGCCATCACTGACTGGTACCATACAACCAGTTGGGTGACCTTGGACAAACTGCTTACACTCCTTAAGTTTAGTCTTTCGTAAACAACAATAACCACGGTATGTAATGCATAGATTGTTGAAAATAGTAATCAGATGGAATGCACCGGGTACCATACTCAAACATTGATAAAAATTAGCTGCTAAAAATAACATTTTTATTTATGATCTTTAAATTTTTAAAAACAAAAACATCAATATTATTAGTTTCAGTATTTTAAGGAGTATAAAATAAATATTATTCTTAGTAAATTGTTTTTTTTTTCTTTTAGAATTATGGCGTGGCTATCCCAGAGTTTATTTTCCAAGTGTTACATTGAAAATGTCATTCTTGACTTATACAAAAAGTTATTTTTAAAAACTGATGAAAGACAAATTTGAAAATGTTTCCTTACTAACCCTACAAAAATTTTGGAGACTGCGTACAGCTAGTATATGGAGAAGATTAAAAAAGAAAATGCTCCTGGTTCAACACCTAACTTGATTTTACTAAATTATATAATTATAAAACAATTCGGTGTTTGTAAGGTGTGACTTTTATTAAAGCTATGACTGTGCTACAACTAGAAAATACTGCTTCAAGAGCATTTCATTTTGTGTATATGTATTCACCTGCAAGGATTGGCATTTTTTTGTTTTTGGTTTTTCAAAAAGCTCTTTTTAATTTGTAGTGTGTGTTTGTGCCTTGACTTTAATTGAAATCCCTAACTTTGCCCTTTTTTGGATTCTTCTTAGGGTCGGTGGTTCCAGAATTTTACTCAGAATGACGTTGGGAAGAGGAGTGATGACACCTCTGCAGGCATTTTCTTCCTGTACTGCGGTTGGCAGAAATGTTTTAAGATGGGATCTTACGCCAGAGCAGATTAAGACAAGGACCGAGGAGCTTATCATGCAGACCAAGCAGGTGTATGATGCCGTCGGGATGCTGGATGTCCAGGAAGTCACCTATGAGAACTGCCTGCAGGTGCTGGCGGATGTGGAGGTGAAGTACATAGGTGGGTAGGATGCCAGAGCGCACTCCTCTTTGCTTTTGTTGACATTTAAAGCCATCGGACGCTTCCTGTTCTGATAGTCAGTTTTCTAAGAGATTGATTTTTACATCTGGGCTAATTCATTGCTTAGAGTTAAATGAATTAAGAGGCTAAGTTTTATTTTTTGACAAAGACATTGTAAAATGTACGCTTACATGGCAGTGCTTCCTGATGGGTATTTCAGTCATATGTAAGTTTTTCTCCTAGCTTAGCAGTTCCACAGTGGTGGCATTTATATTAAGGAAATAATCAGACATAGAAAACTACTGCACTCTTAAAGACTGAGAAATAATCCCAAAATGTCAACCAGTAAAATGGCTCAATAATTTATGAAATATCCATCATGTACAATAGAGTGTAACTGTTAAATCGTGTTGAAGACCAGTGTTTAGTGAGAAAAAGATGCAAGAAGAAAACTGGAAGAAAATGAATACATTTTATTTTATTTTATTTTATGAGTTCCACAGGCTGTGGGATTTCCCTTACCCCTTCACTAAATCCCTCCCTCACTGGTCCCCCCATGCTGTGACAGTAGTTCTAAGTCCATCATTCTGCTAATTAAGTGTATCCTGATGTTGTAGACACGGACAATCGCAGACAGTTAAGTATCCTATTGTCATCATATATCCGATAGTTTCATTGGAAGTCCATCTTCGATTTGGAAGTAGAGAGGCATACTGTATCTTCACATCTGGATACAATAGTCTCTGTTACACAATTACTGTACATCCCCTTCAATGAAAAGCCATAAAACAAAATCAACAATAGGAGGAAAAATAGAAAATTTACAACAACACGAAATTAAATAATATGGTGCTAAATGACCAGTGTGCCACTGAGGAGATAAAAAAGAAAATTAAAAGTTTTCTTGAAGAAAACGATGCTACTCTATGACCTATGAGTAAAGAAATTAAATCAGAAAAAAAAATTTTTTGAAGAAAGGAAAATAAAGACAAAAATCTCAAAACCCATGAGATTTAGCAACAATAGTATTGAAACGGTGATTGGTCTTACATTTTACATGAAGGATATCTTGTATCAGAGAGATTGTGTGATATTTGTCCTTTTGGGATGGACTTATTTCACTGAACTTAATGGTCTCTAGTTGGGACCATTTGCAAATGGTAGAGTTACTTCTTTTTACTGGCTGAATATTATTAGTTCTTTTTAATGGCTGAATAGTATTCCATGGAGTAGATGTAGCAGTTTCTTTATCCACTCCCCTTTGGACAGGCAGCTGGGTTATTTCCATCTGGGTTATTACTATTGTAGATTGTGCTGCTGTAAATAGAGAATTATAGATCCCTTTCTCATATGCAGCTTTCATTTCCTTCGGTTGTATCTCCAGGAGTGAGAAAGCTGGGTTATATGGCAGATCAGTTCTCAGTTCTCCTAGCACTCTCCATATTGACCTCCACAGCGGTTGTACTAGCCTACTCTCCCACCAAGGGAGAAGGAGGGTACCTTTCTCCCCACATCCACGCCAGCAGGTGTTGTTAGTGGAGTTCTGAATGTAGGCCAGTCTCACTGGAGTTAGGTGGAAACTCAGTGTGGTTTTTATTTGTATTTCCGTGACAACTAGAGAACCCGAGCCATCTGAATTTGTTCTTTTGAAAAATGTCTGTTCTTTTCCCTCACTCATCTCTTTTCTTTTTAAAGATTTATGTATTTTTATTGGAAAGTCAGATATACAGAGAGGAGGAGTGACAGAAAGGAAAATCTTCCATGTGCTGGTTCACTCCCCAAGTGGCCACAGTGGCCGGAGCTGAGCCAATCTGAAGCCAGGAGCTTCTGGCGGGTCTCTTGCACAGGTGCAGGATCCCCCAAGGCTTTGAGCCATCCTTGACTGCTTTCCCAGGCCACACGTAGGGAGCTGGGTGAGAAACAGGGTCGCCAGGTTTAGAATCAACACCCAAATGGGATCCCAGGATCTGAAAGGCGAGGACTTCAGCCACTAGACTACGGCACTGGGCCCTCACTCGTTTCTTCACGGGGTTGTTTGTTTTGCTGTCCCTACGTTTCTGAAGTTCTTTGTAAATCCTGGCTATTAGTCCCCTATCAGTTGTGTAGAGTGCAAAGATTGTCTCCCATTCTGTTGGTAGCTTCTTCACTTTATGGATTGTCTGCTTTGCTGTGCAGAAGCTTCGCAGCTTGATATAGTCCCATTTGTTTATTGGCTTTGAGTGCCTGTACTTTTGGTGTCTTTTCTAAGAAGTCTTTCCCAAATCCTATATCCTGGAGGAGAGTGCTTCCTATATTTTCCTCTAATAGTTTTTGCAAATTTAGCTCCTTGATGCATTTAGAGCTGATTTTTGTATAACATGACACGTGCAGGTCTTACTTCTGCAGGCTGCTGTCCAGTTGTCCCAACAGCATTTGTTGAAGAGACCAGGCTTTTCTCCTGGATTATTTTCAGTTTTCTTGTCAGAGATTAGTTGGCTGTACATGTATGGGCACCATTCTGACGTTTCAGTTCTGTTCATTGATCTTCTCTGTTTCAGTCTGTGCCAGTACCAGACTGCTTTGATGACCACTAGCCTCTAGTATATCTTGGGGTCTTGAACTGAATACACTTTAATAATAATAACAGTTATATTAGAATTGTGTGGAGCAGAGTGAGAAACGTCTGGCCCAAGGACCACATAGGACTTGCAGTATCACTCAGTCGGGCCTTGCTAAGGCAGCTGCAGGTCGGACTAGAATTTGAATAAATGCATGGCAAGCTAATGTTTAAATTGTTGATTATCAGGCCCGGCAGTGTAACCTAGCAGCTAAAGTCTTCTCCTTGAATGCGCTGGGATCCCATATGGGCACCGATTCTAATCCTGGCAGCTCCACTTCCCATCTTGCTCCCTGCTTGTGGCGAAAGCAGTTAAGCACAGTCCAAAGCCTTGGAACTCTTCACCCGTATGGGAAACCTGAAAGAAGTTCCTGGATTCTGCCTTCAGATCAGCGCAGCACCGGCCGTTGCGCTCACTTGGGGAGTAAATCATCAGACGGAAGATCTTCCTCTCTATCTCTCCTCCTCTCAGTATATTTGATTTTCCCATAAAAACAAAATACATCTTTTTAAAAATTGTTGATTTTCTGTGGCCTATGAATAATGTTATAAATATCCATGTGGCCCATGGCAAAAGAGAAGATTTCCTAACCTAGTCTAGAAAAGTAGAACCAATTGGATATTAAGGTGTGTACGCTAATAACATGCCTATCTGTATGCATGCATCTCAAAATGCTTTGCATCAAAGTAAGCTTATTGTTTAATCCCATCTTCATGTAATCCATACATAAGATAACCCTGTGGATGTGTGTGTGCAGGACCAGGAGGGCTGACAGGGCACTCTGGGTCCCGTGGGAAGGCCGGTCAGCTGGAGCCGGGAGAGCAGTGGTCAGATGAAAATGGAGGTGCTGTGCTGAGACTGCCGCCTCCTCCTGTCCTGTGCAGGCCCTCCACGGGTCAGACGGCCTCAGCCATATTACACAAGGCAATCTGCTTTACCTCAAGTCCACAAATGTAAAGGTTAATCTCATCAAAGCACTCCCTACAAGAGACTGTCTCTACCTCTCACGTTAGCTAAAAACAAACAAACAAAACTCCAAGGGAAAATGAAAGTTTAACCATCCCAATAGTTAAAATCTTATTTTTATTTGAATTGCAGAGTTATAGGGAGGGAACTCCACCATGCACTGGTTCACTCCCCAAATGGCTGCAGTGACCAGAGAGCTGAGGCACTTGGGAGTCAGGAGCCAGGAGCTTCTCTAGGTCTCCCACATGGGTACAGGGACCCAAGGACTTGACCCATCCTTTGCTGCTTTCTCAGGCCATAAGTAGGGAGCTGGACAGGAAGTAGGACAGCTGACTGGAGATAGCACGCATATGGGATACTGGTGCCTAGCTGTAAGCTTAACCTACTATGCATGGCACCAGCCCCACAATTAATTTTTATTTTCCTTTTACGGATTTTTTCCATTATCCATGTTTCCTACATTGTTATGCTTTTTGAGTCATGAAGAATAAAGATGCACACAGTTACTTCAAACCAAGTAATTATGAATAAACAACCCTGACTTTTTAAGATTTATTTATTTTTATTGCAAGATCAGATATACACACAGGAGGAGAGACAGAGAGGAAGATCTTCTGTCCACTGGTTCACTCCCTAAGTGACTGCAACAGCTGGAGCTGAGCCATTCTGAAGCCAGGAGCCAGGAACTTCTTCCAGGTCTCCCACAAGAGTGCAAGATCCCAAGGCTTTGAGCCATCCTCCACTGCCCTCCCAGGCTATAAGCTTGGAGCTGGATGTAAAGTGGGGCTGCTGGGACTAGAACCAGCAGCCATATGGGATCCTGGCACATTCGGGGAGAGGACTTTTAGCTGCTAGGCTACCGCAAAGGACCCAACAACCCTGTATCCAGGCTATGTATGAACATAAAATAGACACAAAACTGGACAATATAAGCATGTGTATGCACACTGACCAGAATCCAGCCCAGCCCTAGGGACCTATCGTCTCTGCCCCCACGGACCCCATCAGCAGGTTTTCTTGACCCTCTGTACTGTAGTAAGAACTTGACAGTTTTCTCTCCTCTTTGCATTTGTCTCCGTTTCCACCCCTGCTGCAAATGGCTTCATTCTCCTTGGTAGCCACTGAATCTTTGTAGAGCTCTAGGGTTTAAACTCCTGAGCAAGAGGATCTGTTAGATCTCATTAGAAAGGTCCCTCTTGAGAAGTTCTCCCTGGATGACTTCCTGTGTGTGTCCCTCCCCGTATGCCATTTGACCTTGTTTCAGGTGCTCACTTAATCAGGCACTAGCAAGCAGCTAAGCTGGAGTGCCAGCTTAGCAACGTGGGCATCTAGATGATGGAAAAATCAACAGGGAACAAAAGCAAAAAAAATTGATTTTTAATGGAAAGTCAGATATACATAGAGAAGGAGAGACCAAGAGCAAGATCTTCCGTCCACAGATTCACTCCCCAAGTGACCACTGTGGCCACAGCTGCACCAATCCAAAGCCAGGAACCAGAAGCCTCTTCTGGGTCTCCCATGCAAGTGCAGGGTCCCAAAGCTTTTGGCCATCCTCCCCTGCCCTCCCAGGCCACAAGGAGGGAGCTGGATGGGAAGCAGGGCCGACAGGATTAGAACCGACGCCCTTTTAGGATCCCTGTGCATGAAGGCGAGAAGTTAAGCTGCTAGGCTTCATGCCAAGCCCTACTCCCCACCTTTTTTTTTTTTTTTAAGATTTATTTATTTTTATGGAAAGGCAGATCTACAGAGAGAGACAGGGAGGAAGATCTTCCGTCTGCTGATGCACTCTCTAAGTGGCTGCAATGGCTGGAGCTGATCTGATCTGATCTGAAGCCAGGAACTTTTTCCTGGTCTCCACGCGGGTGCAGGGTCCCAAGGCTTTGGGCCGTCCTCAGCTGCTTTCCCAGGCCACAATCAGGGAGCTGTTTGGGAAGTGGGGATTAGGATCAGCACCCATATGGGAACTCAGCATGTGCAAGTGAGGACTTCAGCCAGTAAGCTAGGGCACTGAGCCTGTATAATGTTTTTGAAAGAATTACTTTAGGGAGTGGGCATTCAGCTTAGTGCATAAGCTGCTGGAGTGCCCTGGTTTGGTTCCCTGGTCCAGCTCCAGCGCTGCCTCCTCAGCTCTCAGGCCTGATGACTTTGGTAACTGGTTTTCTCCCACTTGCATGGGAGACCAGAGCTGTGTTCTCGGCTCCTGGACTCACCCTGGCACATTGGAGAAGTTAAGAAACACACGAGAGTTTTTGTGTGTCTCCTGTTTCTCCCCTCAAAAAGAAAAAATGAATTAATAATAATTTTAGATGTTTGGGTTTTTATCCGGTAATAGACATGTAAAACATATTTTGTTTCTTTTTTTTTTAAAGATTTATTTTTATTCTTTTTTTATTGGAAAGGCGGATATACAGAGAGGAGAGACAGAGAGGAAGATCTTCCGTCTGATGACTCACTCCCCAAGTGAGCGCAACGGCCGATGCTATGCCGACCTGAAGCTGATCCGAAGCCAGGAGCCTCTTCCGGGTCTCCCACACGGGTGCAGGGTCCCAAAGCTTTGGGCCGTCCTGGACTGCTTTCCCAGGCCACAGGCAGGGAGCTGGATGGGAAGCGGGGCTGCTGGGATTAGAACCAGCGCCCATATGGGATCCCAGGCGTGCATGGGCCCGGCGCAGTGGCACAAGTGGTTAATCCAGCCAGCAGCTTCACCACTAGACCAAAGGCCTTTTCCAATATGATTAAAAAATATGTATATATATATATATATATATATATATACACACATTGTAATGCTGGCATTGTGGCACAGTGGAAAAACTACCATCTGCAACACCAACATGCTTTATAGGCTCTGGCTGGTGTTCTGGCTACTCCACCTTCAATCCAGCTTTCTGCTAATGGCCTGGGAAAAGCAGCAGACCATGGCTCAAGTGCTTGGGCTCCTGCCCTCCCCACGGGAGACAAAGTTCCTAGCTTTAGCCTCACGCAGCCTCAACCTTTGTGGTGGCCATCTAGGGAGTGAACCAGTGAGTGGAAGATTTTCTCTGTCCCTCCATAATTCTGACTTGCAAATAACACATAAATCTTCATAAATAAATAAATACACACACACACACACACACACACACACTGTGAGGGGCAAGTGTTTGGTAGAGCGTTTAAGAGAGTTCGGGATACCTACATCCCACATAGGAATGCCTGATTTGAGTCTTGATTTGAGTCCTCCATTTCCAATCCATCTTTTTGCCAGTTGGCATCCTACCCTGGAGGACAGAGCTTATGACCCAGGTCGTGTGTTACTGCCACGCACGGGAGCTCTAGGACTCTAGGATGGCTTCCGGGCTCCGGGCTTTGGCCTGGCTCAGTCTGAGGTGCTGCAAACACTTTGGGGATACACGATGGAATACAAGTTCTGTGTGTCTCTCTATGTTTGTGTCTCTCTACGTTTCATCTAAATGAAAAAAAAAAGTTCATTTCATGAAATTTTTAAAATAAAGATGCACATGATGGAGTAATTCTGATATTTCTGGCAGTTTTATACAGCTGTGTTTGTTAGTGATTTTTTTTAAAGAAAGATTTTATTTCAGTTCACAGTGCCTTTTGTATTTTTAAAGAGTATTTATTTATATTAAAAGCAAAACATCAGAGAGCTAGAGACAGATCTGCTGTGCGCAGTTCACTCCCCATATGGCCGCAACCACTGGGGCTGGACCGGTCCAAAGCCAGGAGCCGGAAGTCCATGCAGGGACCCCAGCAGTTGGCCCGTACTCCACTGCCTGCTCGGCTGTTTTAGCAGGGAGCTGCATCCGGAGTAGAACTGAATGTGGGACTCTTGATACGGAATTCCAGTGTCCCGAGCTGTGACTTAACCCTCTGTGCCACAGCACCAGGCCCTGTCAGCGTTCCAGGTGGACTGACAGGAAGCAGGTCCTTTCTTTGCAGTTTCTTGGTGTGTGAAGGATAACTTTGCTACATCATATATGTGTTTCATCTACGTATAATACTGAAAATAAATTCACTGTCATAGCAGAGCCACTCCTGCCTGTAAAAAAATGATCACTTTCCCTGTGCGACTCTTCCCTGTGGAGACTGGAACTGTGGCCATCACTGTAACCCCAGTATCTTGCCACTTCCTGGGGGTGTCCGGTGGGACTCCTCAAATCGTGCTGAGCCCTTGCTGCCTTCAGGGAAAGGACTTTTTGGTTAGGATCCTCGGGAATCCGCAGCGAGCAAGGTGACCAGCGCTAAACAAACTCCACTAAATTGCCCTGCGTGTTTCTTAAACATCTTGTGATTCTGCCAGTCCCACGCTGACAGGCTGTGCTCCAGCTCCGTGTCAGGCCCTCTCCTCTGGCCTTCCCGGCACAGCACCCTGTGTCCTGGCCCTGGGTACCAGCACCCTCTCACTGTCTTGTTCACTGACATCTTAAGATGCTTCTAGAAGGTGTCTTTAGCTCCTACTTTCCAGCTTACCAATTATACCCTAAAAAACATGCTTTGATAAGTGCTCAGTTCACATCCTTCTTGTTCATAATCATGCTGACTCGAACAGCCAAGGTCTGCATTAGAAGCTGATTTCTGGAAAGCCTTAGAAACCTTTACAGAAAATCTGAAACCCTTACGTGGGTAGTATCCGTCACCTGGGCGAGAGCTTTGTTTCCTGATCTGACAAGACCTTTGATAGTCATGGTTTTTCTTCTCTCCACAGTGGAAAGAACCATGCTGGACTTTCCTCAGCACGTGTCCCCGGATAGAGACGTGCGGGCAGCCAGTACGGAAGCCGACAAGAGACTTTCCCGCTTCGATATTGAGATGAGCATGAGAGCAGATGTGTTTCAGAGAATCGCTCACTTACAGGTAAATGCGCTTGGAAATCCCTTGAAAGTGAAAAAATAAATTCTGAAACACAAAAACTAAAAACCATCGGCCAACCATAGAAAGTATTTGAATTTCCTGTGTTCTTTTTTCCAATGATTATAACAATGTGCATTACCCAGTACTTACGTTGCATCGTTAATTCCATTCACTTAAGGTTAAAAGACTAGGTATGGACGGGTGCACAACTGGGAATCTGAAGTTTCTTAATCTCTGTGAAATTGGTGGTTGTATGTAAAAGCCTCCTTGTATTTCCAAGATGATACAAAGTTTACATTATGACAGATTGATCAGTAAATAGAAGAGTGAGCATTCCACACAGTGATTAAGATGCTGCGTGGGCTTCCTGCACGCCGTGCGGGGAGCTTCCCACCCAGCGTCCCACCTGGCTCTGGGGTCTTGCTGCCTGTGGACCCTGCTGGCAAGCAGGTGAGAGCTGACATGGCAGCATCCCTGCCACCCGCGTTAGAGATCCACACTGACTCCCACTCCTGGCTCCAGCCCTGCCCAGCCCTGGCCCCACTTGGAGTATCTGGGCAGTAAACTAGTGGTTGGGAATTCTGTCTATGTCTGCCTTTCCAATAAACAAAATAAATGAAGGAGATATATATATGCATTTTTAAATAGAATTGAGGAGTTTTTACATAATCTATTTGTGGGCCTGGCAGCGTGGCCTAGCAGCTAAAGTCCTCACCTTGAACGCCGGGATCCCATATGGGTGCCGGTTCTAATCCTGGCAGCCCCACATCCCATCCAGCTCCCTGCTTGTGGCCTGGGAAAGCAGTCGAGGACGGCCCAAAGCTTTGGGACCCTGCACCCGCGTGGGAGACCCAGAAGAGGTTCCTGGTTCCCGGCTTCGGATCGGCACAGCGCCGGCCATTGTGCTCACTTGGGGAGTGAATCATCAGACGGAAAATCTTCCTCTCTGTCTCTCCTCCATTCTGTATATCTGACTTTGTAATAAAAATAAATAAATCTTTAAAAAATAAAATAAATAAATAATCTATTTGTTTGAAAGGCAGAGCAACAGACAGAAGGGGCAAAGTTTAGTAGAAGAGAGAACAAGTTTACATCTGTTGGTTTACCACTTAAATGGCCACGACAGCCAGGCCTGGGTCCGAGTAAAGCCAGGAGCTCCATTCCGATTGCCCACTTGGTGGCAGGGGTCCAGACACTTGTGTCATCTTCCTCTACCGCCTTCCCAGGTGCTAATGGGAAGCTGGACTGAAGGGGAGCAGTTGGTACATGAGCTGACATGCTCGAACAGAATGCGGGTGTCTCAGGCAGTGGCTTAACACACTATGACACAACACTGGCCCCAGAATTAATGTTTTTATCCTCATATTTTTTTATCAGGGCCAGGACATTGAGAGAAATTGGTATTGCACGCTAGAAATCATTTTGTTCTGTCATATTTGCATTCTTTACGGCACAGAGAAATTATGCATCATGAATATTCTCTGTGAATCTGAGTATTTTTCAACTTTTTGTCATAAATATTGATTTGCCTTCTAATATTTTCATCATATCTCTGTTTTAAATTTTCATTTTCTTGACACCTCAAAAATCTGCTTGGAAAAAACAAATGGTGTGCTATAATCCTAGGCATTTTGTAAAATTGGGAAGTTTCTTTTAGCAGTATTTCAGAAATTTCTTCTTCTTTTGTGCAAAACATCTCAACAGTTGATGTGAAGCATTTTGAATAAAACTAGAAATTATTAGAGAATGTGTCATCACTGGCCAGCATGGTTGCTCTCGGCTAATCCACCACCTGCAAGCCCTGGATCCCATATGGGTGCCAGCTCATGTCCCAGCTGCTCCAGTTCCCACTTAGCTCCCTGCTTGTGTCCTGGGAAAGCAGCAACAGATGGCCCAAATCTTGAGTCCCCATCCCCATGTAGGAGACCCAGGATAAGCTCCTGGCTCCTGGCTTCAGAGTGGCCCCGTTCTCAACCATTTAGGGAGTGAACCAGCAGTGGAAGATATCTCTCTGTCTCTCTCTCCTCTGTCTGTAACTCTGCTTTTTAAATAAAATAAAATTTTAAAAATAAACAAAAGTAACTTTGTGATCTTTCTTTATTGGCTTATCTTTCCTCTTCTCTCCTTTTGACCATGGTTATTGAATCATGAGCTTTTTATAAGCTCATGTTTTTTTCTAGTTCTGTATTTCATAGATAACTTAAGAATTTTTCCTAGAATCTGCATTTTTAAAAAAATATATATTTATTTTTACTTGAATGGCAGAGTTAGAGAGGGAAGAATGGAAAAAAAAGAGCAAGATCTTCCCTTTTCTAATTCACTCTCAAAATGGCCTCGACAGCTGGGGCCGGGCCAGGAGGAGGCCTGGGACTCCATCAGGGTTTCCTGGCAGCTGGGAACCAAGCCCTTAGCCAGCTTCTGCAGCTCACTGGCAGCAGCTGGATGCAAAGTGAGGCAGCCAGGCCCACAGCTGGCACCTGTGTAGAATGATGGTGTCGCAGGCAGCCTAATCTACTGCCCTACCATGTTGGCTCTCTTTCTTTTAAAGAAAAAATTTTTTTTTCTTTATTTATTTGGAAGAGTTAAAAAGAGAGGAAAGGAGAGACTCGCATAAAAAACTTCTAAATTCTCGTTTGAAATATTGATGTTTTGTCTTAGCTGCTTATTAGGGATATTATCAATAAATGAAAGATGTGTGTCTTTAGATTTCTCTGACACACTTGAAAATTTGGAACATGATTTGGACTTAGAAACTGCTGCCTATCCATCAGAAGAGACGCCGCAGGAGCTGGGCGGGCACTGGGTAACTCGCCAGATTTATACATCTGGTTGAGCTGACTCATTTCAGGGCTTCTTCAATCAAAGGTAGTTTCAGATTTGATTCCATCAGTTTTCTCCTTTCCAGTGGAATACTTACTCTCCTATGCACGGGTTATTGTGTTTACACTTTTAGGGGTTTGATGATGTCTGTTAAGATATGGAAATACAAGTTTAAAAAAAAAGTTGTGTTCATTTTGGCACTGAGGCAAGACGAGAGAAGCCAGTCACCTTGAAATATCTCCCCTGAGAAGTAGTTCCGTTAATGTAACCAATATTTTATAAATTTCAGAGTTGTAAGTATTATTTTCTGGAAGAACTGGACACAAATGGTAAATTTGTTTCCATGTATTTCTAAAGGACCAAAGTACATGTAATCCAATTAGTCTGTTTGCTTTTCTCTAAAATGCTAGATTAGGCCAGACGTATCACATAGAGCCTGCACTCGGGAACACAAACAGGATCTTAAATTAATACAAAGTCATCAGTTTCAGCCATGTTCTGCTAAAATGAGGGTGCTCCAGAGAGTATCATATTCCCAGGAGACCACCAGTGTGGGCAATAATGAAATATATTATCCAAATTAAATAGAAAATATTATTTCGTGTCTGTATTTTCCACTTAGAGTTAATAAGTAGGAAGGTGAAATCACCATGCTTTTCTTGGCTCTTGGTGCAAAGCTGTGCTCGGTATGCGTCAGTGGCTCGTTGACCTGCCATGTTAACCTGAAAATGTAGGAGCCAGAGCAGGTGGCGATCATTTTATGATCCCTTACAGAACTGCTGGGCAGTTCTGACCTGAGCTCTCCCCTGTGGTTTTCAGGCAGAGGCGACTGGGATGGAAGCGGGCGGGAGCCTACCAGACAGCTGTTTCTTTACCCAAACCTCAGGGCGCATCCAGATAGATCAGCCCAGATGCCAGGAACAAAACAGCACAGGCTGGAGGGGTGGGGGAGGAGAGGAGCAGTCAGCCACACAAGCTCGCTGTCTCCCAGGGGGAAGGCTGGTAGTCCCAGAGGAGAATGCCCGTCAGCGTGGTTGGGTTATGACAAGAGCTGGGTTCCTGGCATGCGCCCCATCCCCTCTTGCCTTCCTTTGACCTTTCCTCTTGTGTATTGTGGGTAGGGATGGGAGGTGGGCCCTGGCAGATAGCTTGTATAAAGGATGCATCCAACTCAAGTGAGAAACCAGTTAGTGTCAGTTAACCCAGTTAAACCTCTGGTAGTTGGTTCTGGAACATGAGCTGTGCATTTGAGGAAAAAAATAAAAATAAAATTGGCTGCCATCCTGAAAAACAAACTGGAAAACAATTCCTAATGGATTAGTCTTCCTCCTCTCCCCCCTACTTTAAGGTGTGCTTTATTTATTTGAAAGGCAAACTTAGAGAGAGAGAGAGAGAGAATCTTCCAGCCACTGGTTCATTTTCCAAATGGTTGCAATGGCCAGGTCTGTGCCAGGCCAAAGCCAGGAGAGAGGAGCTTCTTGCAGTCTCCCATGTGGGCACAGAGGCCCAAGCGTTTGGGCCATCTCCTGTCCTTTCCCAGGTCATTAGGGAGTTGGACTGGCAGTGGAGTAGCTGGGACACCAACCTGTGCCTGTGTGGGATGCCAGTGTTATATGCTGCTGCCTTACCCACTATAGCATAAAACCACCTAATTAATCTTTTTTTTCTTCTTTGCTTCTTTTTCATGATACAATTCCATAGGCTCGGGGATTTCCCCTTCCACAGTCCCCCTTTCTCCTTCCTGCACTGTCTTCCGCTATATTATTACACAAGTATACTCCTTCATAACAGTCAGGAGCCTATCATTCTGCTTACAGACAATGGTAGAGTCCAGCATCCTGTTGTCAAAATGTATTTAACAGTTTCATTGGGAGTCCATCTTTGATTTGGGAATATAGATGCATACTGCAATGTGTCTTCACTTCTTGGTATGCTGATCTCCACTATACAGTTTCTCTCTCTTTCTCTCTCTCACGTTTGTATATGTATTTATTGGTCATGTATTTTGCATAAAAATTGCCTCATACCAGAAAGAACATATGATATTTGTCCTTTTTGGATTCGCTTATTTCACTGAGCATAATGGTCTCTAGTTGGAACCATTTGGTACAAATATTAGAATTCCATTCTTTCTAGTATCTGAGTCGAGTTCTGTAGAGTGGATTTACCACAGTTGCTTTATG